ACCCAAATCCTGAGCCTAGCCCTACAAATATCATGTTGAGCATCTTAAATGTGCCAATACAATAATGACCATAAATAAAAGTCCTTTAAATAGACAGAAGGGACTGCACTTAATTAGTTTCCAGGCTCTTTCAACAGGTCAATATCTCCTTACAGAGGAAAGTCTGTTTGCAGAGTTGTTGTAAGCATATCCAGGATATCAGAGAGACAAGATGGGTGAGGTAATATCTTTTGTTGGACCAACTTCTGTTTATGAAAGAGACAAGCTTTTGAGAGTTGCACCGAGCTCTTCTTCAGGTCTGGGAAAGGTACTCAGAGTGTCACAGCTAAATACAAGGTCAAACAGATAATTTAGCATCAGTAGTTACCACATATTGTATGGGACTATTCAAGGTGAAGTGTCCCATCAACACCCCTGTAGTTATAGGACAAAAAGTGGGGGTTAGTTGTTGTAATAAGCTGTAAATCCAGTGCCTTTATTAAGAACATGATTTTTAGTGTCTAACAAAGTTATGAATTTAAGATTCCAGGCTCATCTTTGAAAGTGTTGTGCAGGTTTCCTTTGAAGAGGAGGACTGATGGGTCAGATTTAGAGTGATCACTTTGTGAAAAGTGTTCACCCACTTGTGATGTGGTGTTTTTTGTCTTATCATTTTCCTGTATGAGTTCATTCGAGAATGTAGCGATTGTCTGGTTTCAACTACATAATTACAGGTTTCAGAGTAGCAGCCGTGTTAGTCTGTATTCACAAAAAGAAAAGGAGTACTAGTCGCACCTTAGAGACTTTGCATTGGTTAGTCTCCAGTTGGTTAGTCTCTAAGGTGCCACTAGTACTCCTTTTCTTTCTGCGAACTACATAATTGTTATAGGGCCATTTAGTGTAGAGAAAAGTCTGGTCATTTGGAACAAGTGTATTTTGGGGGTGGAGGACTGCATCTGTTAGCATCTTGATACCCAGGTATATACATCATAGGAGAGGGGGGCAAAATGTAGCTCTTTGACACCAACGGCGCCTCTACATACAGGTTCAAAAACACTGTCAAACTGTGGATAGGCATCTCAGTGACCACCTGCAGAGGTGAGAAAGTCCTGTGGATATTGATTGTGGTGTGGGAGAACTTCCACTGACCTCTTTATCTCTCTCTCTCTCCCCATTATCTATTCAGATATCACTTTGTTTTTTGCTATTCTCTTTCACCCCTGATCCAGTAAAGCCCTTAAAGTGCTTAATTTTAAGTTTAAATGCTGTGCTGGATAGGGCCAGAGTGCATATCCCTAATGCAAGCAGGTAAGATTTCACACATCTCCTTGATATACTAGGACTTGGAAGACAGCAGATGTTTTTCCTCCATTGCATTGAGGTTAGTGTATTCAAATACTCACTGTTTTTTCTTGCTATTTTTTTAAGTGCTGACATATTTGGCATTGTGCAAGAAAAAGATCATATCTGCCCCCAAAGTGTTTACAATCTATGAGACAAAGACAAACAAGATGTACTGGGAGATCAGAGTTAAATGTTACTTTAGAAAACTTTATTTTGATTTTAGTTGGAGAACATTTCCCTTTTGTCTGCATTGGAATTTTGGGATGAAATCCAGACCCCACTGAAGTCAATGAGAGTTTTGCTACTGACTCCAATGGACCAAGGATTTCACCCAGGCTTTGTTATGAAAGCAGCTGGTTTATTTAAAGCTATTTAAAATTGTGCATGCATTTACTAAGTAACCACATAACTTCATTACTCACTGCTTCCTCCCCATGACTCTTCTGTTTCAATTCCTTTGTTATGAACGTATGAAACAAGGCCCGAATCCTGCAATCAGAATCTCAAGGACAGACCCTTGCACCTGCATGGATTTCATTGCAGGATAAATGCCTAACACTGTATCATAATCCCATGTTTAGAAATATACTGTGTGACATTTAGGGTCCAAGAGGTTTCTTCTTTGTTTATACTGTGAAAAGGTATAATTTTGTTTGGTTTTCATATCTGTTCCTATCTGACCTGCTTTTGTCCCATTTAAAGTGTAATTAGATAAAGCAAAAATACTGAACATTAATGAAACATTTACTTCAATAACTTCCAAATCAATCTTCTATCCAATAAATTTATCTCTTAATTTTAATGTTTTGTATGACAATAGTTTTGTAATATTATAAGCAACCCATTCCTTAATCTTTCCAAATCTTCCAAGAGTACATATACCATAATACTCGTGGTATGGCCCAAAGGAATGAGCAGGAGGAGCTGGGAAATCCTCCATTTACATTTCTAGTCCTGGCTGTGACACTGACTAACAATCTTGGCCACTACCTGTCTACACTATAGTGGGAAATGAAAATGGCTGAGATAGTCTTCTCGGCTGCCCCTCAGACTCCATTCCAAATACACACACTAGTTTTTCTCTCCTATTCTTAAAGAAATCTATTTCTACAGTATATTGTTTTAAATCAATCTACCTAAGTCTAAGGTCTTGTCTACACGACAAAGTTTTGTCAGCAAAACCTGCCTTTTGCTAACAAAACAGGGGAGGTGTCTACAGAACAAAGCTACTTTTGACAGCAAAACTCTGCTGTTTTGCTAACAAAATAAAACCACCTCAGTGAGAGGCATAAAGCCTTTTGCAACAAAGTTAAAGCAACAAAGCATCAGCGTAGACACTGCAGTTTGTTTTGTTGACAGAACTAGCTTCCGCCAATATCCCACAATGCATGCCTTGACCGCTCTGCTCATTGTTTTGATTTCTGCTGCTCTGCAGGCATGCGCTCCACCCCTTTCAAAGCTCTGGGAAGTATCTGACAGCTCAGTGTGCTGCTCCTTTTGGGGAACAAAGAGCAAATCATTTGTGTGGAATGTTCCCCAGGGTCGGCACCACTATGTTGTGTGATAGACACTTTGTTGGATCATATTAAAGAAGTTCTGTATTAAAATCACAAATGAGTTTGATTCCCCATAGTTTAAATTCCAGGGTATTACTAATTAAGAAGTCTCTTGGTTTTTGGTACTGTTTCTCTCCCTCTATGTGTGAAACTTGCAAGCTGCTAATTGTGTTAGTACATTCTAAGACAGAGTCTGTTCTCAAAGCAATTCACAGAGAGAGAGACTCAAAGCAATACTCTAACAACAGAAACAACACCCAGAGACTCCCCACCCTTTTGTTGTATTAACAATTGTGATTAAAATAGAGATAGAGGATGTATGTGGATGGATGCTTGGTGTGGATAATAACTGAATGATCAGGGAGGTGCCAGCCTAAGAATCCAGTGTCCATCGGCTGAAGAAGGCGTCAAGTGGAAATAACCAGAGGACCCCCCGGAGGGAGACTGGAATCCACCCAACAGCCTCAAGAATGGGAGAACCAAAGAACAAGATAACATCTTGGAGCCGTCAGGAATGTGCTATCTGCTGATTGATTCAGCAACAGCATGATGAAGCAATTCCCATAGACTGGCATAGGAAGAAATTCCTATAAAAATAGACTCTAAAAAGTGAGAACTTTGGGGTCTGATTCTGCAAACCAACTTCCAGGAGCATCAGATGAGCATCTGACAAGGCCCTGCTCCCTCCTCATGTCCAGGCCACCTGGCCAGTGGCTTGGCATGAGCAACTCTAAGGCTGGTAACTATGATAACAACCTTGCAGAACCTGTGTGTGTGTGTTTGTATGAATGAATGTGTGAATAAATGAGATTGAATGGAATGTTAGAGCTAGAACTAACTGCTTACTATGATTCTTTCTGTATTCACAATAAATGTGGTATTTTGCCTTTTTCCCTTTAATAAGATCCTGCTGGTTTTTATTTTATTGGTATAACAACTTGACAAAATTACCCTACTTAGTGGGGGGAGGAGGGGGAGGAATGTCATTCAGTGTTTCTTGAAAAATTACCAGGGACCTCAAAATTTTTACCACGGACATGTTGCTGACCCCTGGTTCTGCCCTGCACTAGGCACACCGCACCAGGCAGGCTGCTGCTGGAGGGGGAGAAAGACAGCTGTGTTGTTTTTTGACATTCCTCAGCATGGGGAGCTCCTAGAACTGCTCCAAGCAGCAGAATCGTAGGCAAGCAGAGCGAGCGGGCTGCTTGGGGAGAGTCTGCTGTGCGGAGCAGAGCCAGGGGTTGACATGGGGTGGTGGCATCCCCTCCCCCTTCTTCAGGATAGGTCAGTCAGCCTGTTGTCTCCCCTGCCCCAGACACCCCACTCCTCTCCCTCCCCACACACCCTTCAGATGAAAAAGCAGCTGACAATCTACTAGGATGCTCCAGAACTACGGGATTGAGAAACCTGCATCATGTGGCACTATACCTGCCCCATGAGGTACTGCAAACCCATCCCAAAGCACCTTACTGGCCAGTTGCATAGTGAGGTAGCTACCACAGGGCGCTGCTCTCTGTGTCAATGCAAGAGCTGCTAGTATGGATGCCCTCTGCTGACAGAGGCACTAATGTGGACATGCAACAGTGATTTTAATTAAAGCGGCATAACTTTTGCCGACAAAACCTTGTAGCGTAGACAAGGCCCAGGTGAAGGTGTTTGCAGGGTTGCTGCAGCTGTGCTGGCCCCAGGATGCTGGAGACCGGGTGGGTGAGGTAATCTCCTGTGTGGGCCCCTGAAGGAGAGTGCGTGTAGCTGGAAAGCTTGTCTCTCTCCTCTCCAGAAGTGGGTCCAACAGACGTGACCTGGCTTGTCTCGCTAGTGAATCCTGGCACCGGTGCAGCTCAAGGACTCAGTGCTCTGCCTTGAGCTGTGCCAAGGGCTCCCCGGCCGGCGGCTGCCCGCAGGGGCCCGGGGTCGTGCCCCCTGCGGGCGGAGATCCCGGCGCGGGCCGCTGACCGCTCGTGCCGCACGCGCACGGCCACCGCCAGCCCCAGCGAGTCCCTTTCCGCCGCCGGCCTCATCGATGGACTCGGCGATCTCCCCCACCGCCTCGATGCAGCGTGGGTCGATTTGCTCCGCCTGTTGCGCGGAGACGGAATCCCCGCTCTCGCGAGCCCGAAGGCGGGCCTGTGCCGCGAGCGCACCGATTCGCGCAGCGCGCTCCGCGGCCTGGCTGAGCTCGGCGCTCTCCTCATCGATGCTCTCCCGGAGTCGATTCCTTGGCTGCGGCGCCATTTTGCAGGAAGAGCGGGGAGAGAGGTAGGAGCCTGGCCGCGGGCCCCAGCCCCTGTTCCTCCGCGGGGCTGCACAAGCGCGTGGCCGTGGCTCGGGCTGGCCCAAGCCCCGGCGGGCGCCGCGCCGCGCAGCTGCCGGGTGCGAGCTGGACCCGCAGGGGCTGTCGTGCCGGGACAAGCCGCGTCTGCCCTCGGGGGGCTGCTGGTTAAAGGCGCTGAGCCTGCGCTGCGAGGCGGGGGCTGCTGGCCGGTACTAGGTTGAGGCTGCAGTAAATCGCCGCCCTGCTGGCGTCTCCCGGCGCAGGAGTTTCAACTTCCCGCTGAGCAGCCTCGGCTCGGGTTAGCCAAAGGGCGGCGTGGCCCCCTGGCACTTCCGCGGGCCGCGGCGGCCTGTTCAGGGTGGGGGTGTCTGCAGCCTGGCCCGTTTCGTCTTGGTGCGATGGCCCCAGGCTCCCTGCACGCTGTCGGCAGAGTGTGGGCGATGGTGCGGCCCCGTCTGGAAGCGGTGAGGGAGGGCTCAGTGCGGTGGGGCGCCCGAGCAGCACGGGAGCAGTTGCCTGTTCTAGGTAGGTTTGTATGCCATCCTCATAAGCATAGTGTCTGGCGCTATGTAACCGATCGCTGGTGTGTGATGTGTCTTTCTTCTGTTTCAGGAAGAATTTTATTTAAATAGAGAAACAACCCTCAGAAATGGCCAATGTGAGTAATTTAGTCATTGAGCTCTGCTACCAATAGCTTATAATGTTAGCTGTATCATTAAGCTAAACAGTATTAAGCAGGAAACTTCGTTTTCATTTGTATTGTGGCTTCCGTTGGATGCCATGAAAGACTCCTCGTGCCCCTCATATCTGACAACATTAGACCTGAAGGAGAGCTCTGTGTAAGCTCAAAATCTTGTCTCTCTCATCAGCAGAAGTTGGTCCAGTGAAAGATATTACCTTACCTGCCTTGTGTCTCTAAGATAAGACAACATGCAAACTATAAAAAATTTTGTTAATATTTTATATGGCACCAGATTCTCTTTTATTTTTTCATGGCATGAGTGAAATTCTGTGCAGTTTTCCTATATAATGTTAGGTTGTTCATAAACGGTTCTGTTGCACACAGCTTTTTTTTTTTTTTTTTATGTAAAAACAGTGTTGGATTCTTGACTGATTATTATTATGTGGCTCTTTGGCAACGCACATTGGTAAATTCTGTCTCCTTCTCAGGCTCAGGTTGGCCACTCCTGTTGGTCAAATAAAAGATATTAGACCACCACAGTTACAACAACACTGCATACAAGAAGTGTTTGGTTTTGGTCAGATATTGTCTGTTTAATATGTATTGTAGATAATAGACATCCTTTTTTTGTTAATGTATAAGCCACACTAGCCTTTACTATGTAAAGGCTTTGTGTTCAGGTTGGCTGGCTTAGGTCCCGATCCTGCATACATGCACGTGTCTGACTTGAGCATGTGAGCCGTTCCATTAAAGTCAATAGGACTACTCCCATGCTTAAAGTTAAGTGTGTACAGACATGTGTATAGCACTGGAGCCTTAAGATTTAGTCCTATCCTGAAAATCTTTTCGAAAATTTCCCCCCAGTTCTAGAAAAGTAGAACAAAGGCCCAAAAAGTGTCTCACAAGATGAACCCAAATTGTGCAGCAAGACTGGGTTTTTAGGGCACTACAGTTCAGCACGTTGAACATCTTGTGGTAGCTCTAAGTATGTTAAAAATGAAGAGGTTTATTTAGTTAAATATAATGGTGGTATTATTTTGGTATTCAGATTCAATGTATTTTACTGTTCCTAAACATTTAAATTGGCTACAGATTTGTTTTTTGAGTGCATAATTGGATCGTTGAAGTTGAGAAACTAGAAGTTGTTGGAAGCTTGAAGTTATAGCAGTTAGATAGTAGTTGGAGTTCTTGAAACTTGGGGAGAAGATTAAATTTGTGGGCTTAAGCACATTAGCTGGATATTTTTGCTAAACCAATCAACAGTAAAATAGTGAACAATGTTGACATTTAAATTTATCATCATTAGGATTCAGAGTTAACAACATTGAGATGAATTGGAGTTGGTCACGCTTCCGAGTGCTGTTGTTTCAGGCTGTTTGCAGACTCGGGAAGACAACATTGCATCCATTTACACTCGGTTTGTTTTTTAAGGTTTTCTTTGTTGTTATAGAAGTAGGTGTTGTCTCTTTGTTTTTGTATTTTTGTAACTGAACACTTAGACTTGGAAACACAATTCTGTCGCAGATTCTGCCTCTGCATAATACACAAGAGCTGTGTGACCTTCTGATTATAAACCCATATTGCTGGCTTTTTGCAGCTGAAAATATGTTTTGTGTCTGCAGCGCAAAATAATGTTGTCAGTACTAATTTTAGGCTTCCCTGGCTTGACTGTGTCCCTCAAGTTGTAATATTGCAGGTAGATGGTATAGTGACTGAATTCCTACTCCTGCCCATTCTGATCATTTGGTTTTAAAATAAATTTGTGTGCGCACTCTGTGTGAGCTTTGGCATTCTTTTTACATTTTTTTATTATTCTGAGTATCCTGTAATACTTTGCACAAGGGGATGGACTAAAAACAGTGCTAGTCTGTAGGGCAAAGCATGGAGATTAGATATCTAAAATATCTAAAATATTTTGATGGATCCTAAGATCAACTTTCCTGATTGTTTTGTATTTTTTTGGGTTTTGAGTTTTTTTTTCAAATGTAACAGCAGGGGAAATGATACCTAGTATATCATGACCCGATTCATAAACATATTTACATTCATGTGTTGTCACAATGATACCCCGGCTCTTAACCCCTTTCTAACTGTAGCTCAAATGTGGAGGTATTTCATTGTGCATTTTTGTTTGCATTATGCAGTTTTCTTTTATCAAAATTGAATAGGAAACTTACAGTACTAATAAAGTGTAAAATATTCCTACAGTTAAAAAATACAATTAATGACACTTCATTGCTATAAGTTTTTCTTTATGGAGTTACATGTAGTTTTGTATTCTAAAAAGTTAAATATAAATTCATTGATCACTTTTACTTGCAACTATGACACTCAGTTCTGCTTTTGTCCTCTTTAGGTGCTCTGTAACAGAGCAAGACTGGTGACCTATCTACCAGGATTTTACTCCTTGGTCAGAAGGGTTGTAAATCCCAAGGCTTTTTCCACAGCAGGATCTTCTGGCTCAGATGAGCCTCACGTTGCTGCTACACCTCCTGATATATGTAAGAAAAAATAAACAAATTTTGTTACATATACTGCCTGCCAGAGTAACTATCTGTCTCAAATAAATAGAGATAAAATTACTTTTGTTTTTGATATGGTGAATCATTTAGTTTTTTCACTTACTCTTTGTGATTACTTTCTCTTTTTTTTTCTGTTTTACGTGATTGCACTCAAATGTTTTTTTATTTAGGAGTTAAAAATAAGTGTGTATTTTTTCAATGTGAAGACTAATGTAAGCACTCAATTTTTAACAGGTCCAAGAACTGTGTGGCCAGATGAAGTAATGGGACCATTTGGTCCTCAGGACCAGAGATTCCAGCTCCCTGGTAATATAGGTTTTGATTGTCACCTAAATGGTACAGCTTCTCAGAAGAAAACACAAGTTGATAAAAGTTTGCCTGATATATTAATGGAGCCCTTATCAAGTGAGAGACATGAATTTGTGATGGCACAATACATAAACAAGTTTCAGGTAAGAACAGTAATTTAATACATGAAGCTGAAAATTGTAGTAGCGTTTTGATTTTCTTATATGCCCGAGAGTAATCTCCCAAAATTAGAATATTGATAGTGCTCTGAAAGTGATGTAAGATGAAAATAAACAGAGATGGGGGGGAGGGATCATATAGAACATTTATTTCCCAAGAAAATCATCAACTGTCTCCTTTAAAACCCCTGACACTATGAGTAATGCAAACTTTTTTTGCAAAATGTCTAATGAAATAGCATTTTAAATAGCTGCTTATTTGTATTAGCTATATGAAGACAAGATTACGTCAATTTAACTTTAAAACAAATTGTTGACTTAGTCTTATTGATCTCTTTTTTGCAAAAAGATCAATAAGACTGTTCATTGTTAAATTTTAATGATTTCCTTTAGATTGGATGGGTCTAATTTATTAGGACAAAGTCTCCCTTATTTGTGCTTGTGGTTCTTGTATGCTCATGAAACCCAACATGAGAAGTGTACTAACTAAACTTGATTGTAGTTGAAGTTACTCCCTTTTGGGAATAGCAAAGCTCACAATGATTCAGAGATGCCTTATTAACAGTAGGCAGTTTGACTATTATATTTGCTGGCCTTGCATATTAAGAAATTTTTAGCTCCTGTATAATGTCATCAGTGATACTGAGACCTCACTGGTTTTGGAGCCAAATTAGCGATCAGTATTACCCAAAAAAGCCGCAGTAGTGTGAATTCATTATTTTCTTTACTCTGTGTGTGTAAGTAAGTAAGTAAGATATTCTCACAGCAAAATGACTGGCCAAGTATTATTATTTATCAACTCCAATTGGTTATAATAACATAGTAAAAGCAGCCTGATTGGCTAATAGCTTAGGTTAAATAATTAAATCACAGTGTCTTAATATCACTACAAAGAGCTTCAGGAGATGCATTAAAGAGCCACTTTCTGCTCCTAAGCCTCAGTCTGAGTATCGCTGAGCTAGTGTATTAGCTTTTCACAGCCCACATGAATTTTGTGGCATCCTCAAACATAGGAAATCAGTTTAAAAATTATGATAAACTATTTTTATGTAAAAATGCTGTACAGTATTTCTTGTGTACATATAACCTGAGTCTGAACAATCCATTTGCCCATAGTGAGCTTTTCTGGCTCAGCGCCTTGAACTTCTGTGGAATCAAAGCTTTAGTTTTTAAAAAAAAAAAAAAAGTGAACCAAGTGTAATTGACACAGGTTCTGTCTGGCTGCAAGTAACTCTGTAGACTGAAAGCTCCAGTGCCTCTACTGCTGCTTATAGCTTTGCCAAGCTGTTGTAGAGAGAAGACTGATAAGAGCACTGTCAGTTTCCACTGCTGCTGTTCAGGAGGCTGTACACAAGAATCGGGTCAATTTCACGCTGCTGCTGTTTGGAAAAGTTCTGAGTATTAGTAAAGGCAAACACTGAAGCTTTTCTCTTGGGAACAGGAAACGGAGGCAAGGGAAGGGTAGAGTAGCAGAGATCCCTTCACTCCCCCCCACACCCAGTCCCATAGCAACTAGAAAGCAGCAGGAGGTTAGAATAGCAGAGATACCCAGCTCCCCCATCAGAGGAGCCAAGAGAGATGTTTAAGTAGCCAAGGCCCAACTACCTTTCAGTGGCCAGAGTGTACTGGGGTGGATTTCAAATTTATCTGACTCTGATGTGCCGGAGGTTGATACAAAAGATAGAGCCTCTGAATACTCTGGTAAAAATACCAGCTCACTTCCTTTCCCAGCAGTTGTGGAGAGGAAGAGTGGGTATTGGTTTTTGGCAACTAGGCAACTAGGTTTAATCCTCTGGCTAATAAATGTGTCCTGTAAATTTGTAAGCCTTGTAAGTGGAAGGACTGGTTGGATGTGGGACAAAAGAGAGAGGAAGAGCCATGAGAGACGCAGTCAGAAAATGGCAGTGTTATCTGAGTATGAAAACACGTGCACCCGGACTGCAGTTAGTTTTTGTGAATTCTTTGGCAAGATCAGAAGATCCACTAGGTTATTTTCCACACTGAGAGGAAAACAGAAGAAACCTGCTTGATGAGTAACATTTTATAGCAAAATGCTAACCTAACATGTTGAGTCTTTTTAAGAGGAATAGTTTTATAGACTGACCATGTGCCTGTGCTTTCGCTGCAGCTGAAGATGCTCTACAAACATACTGTACATACAGTCCTCTTCGAAAAAACGTATTTACTAGTTCAACATTATTAGCTCGCTGGAATCCCATATTAATGGTAAAATAACTTTCATATTATATGTGGATTAAAGAGCCAAGAAATCCATGTTGAGGTATAGAACAGATGTGGAAAGCCTGATGTAACATTTCACTCTCCCATAGCAGATGGCTCTTTTCACTGTCCTCTTAAGAACTGCAGTTTACTCCTGTAACTAACTTGCAGAACTTTCACATGAAAGGCAGCTACAGAACCCAAATTTTAACAACTAGAGCCCTAGATTAGTAGCTTTAGTTATTAAAGAGCTTATATGGCAGTAGTAGTAGATAGTTTTAGCTGTGAGGCTACAACAGTTGCAAAATTTGCTTGCAAAATATCAAGCTTAGGAGCACTGCGTAATTCTATGTAAATTTTTGTTTTGACTCCTGTAGTGGTATATCTACATCTGTTTAGTTGTTTTCATTGCAGCACACATTAAAGATTTATAAAGCCATTTTCATGCATTCATAAAGTGATACGTTTAGCAATTTGTTTTATCCATTTATTTGAATGCTGTAGGTGTAATGTAAGTACAACTAAATAAAAAGTAGTGTATTTAGACCCATCTGATATATGAAAATAGGATAGGTAAATGCTGTGATAAAAGTTCAAAACTCATTTGTTACACATTTAAGAACTTTTTTTTTTTTAAATAATGATACATAGGACTGATATTGCAGCTTCCCTTACACAAGTAATTACAATTGACTTCAGTGGTTATAGGATTAGATTTTAGGAGAAGACTTATCTTGATAAATCATAGGCTTGGGAGTCAGGCGACCTAGTTCTGATGTTGTTCAAAAAAGCCTCAGTTTCTCTGCCTATAAAATGGAGTAATGAGGTTTAGGGACTTGTTGCAAACTTCGTGAGCAGCCTTTACTCAGTGGAACTACTATGAATAAACATCTGCAGGATCTGAGGATTACACAACTCCAGTCGGAAATACTATTTTAATTGTTAATCATGTCACACATTATATAAACCTGAAAGTTACCGTTTGTATTTCCTTGATTTTCCTTAGGGCACTGATGTCCCTCCTAAACAGCAAATAAGTAATGCTGAAACATACTTTGAAAATGCTAAGATAGAATGTGCAATACAAACTTGTCCAGAACTGTTACGAAAAGGTACATCTTTCACATTTTTGAACAATTTAATTTTTAAGGTTTTATGAAGTAAAAATATATAAATAGAGTTTCTCACCATCAGACCAAGGTTGCGGAATATGTGAATTATTGTTCCTATAGCTTCACATTATTAAAAAATGCAATAATAATCCAAATTCCTGGATGATTACTAAAAGGTTTACATTTTACATAATGAAAATCCTTAACTCTATATGAAAATCCATACAAAATTGTTGTACAAGTAACAGCAATATTTATAAAGTAATTAATTTTAAAAGTAATGACTTAGTAGTAAAATTAAAAGGTCAGCTGAAGTCTTTTTTTTAAAGGCATGTTACACTCATAGTCTGACCCGAACTACCTCTGTAGCTGCTGTGTGTGCACCCGTATCAGCTTATGATCCAATGGATTGTGTAGGAATGCTTGCCATATCTGAACCACTCCTCTGCCCTGTGTTCACATGGGGAGAATTGCCATGGAAGTACTGAATCCCATTATCTGGCTTCTCCTCTTTCTAGTCCTCCGCAGAAACAGTTTTGGATGGACTTGGGGTATTGCATGACTGCAAGACTCTTGGGGTTAGGTTAACAAAGGGTCATAGGTGCCTATGTTTTTGCAGTAAAAGTTTCCTAGGTACTGTTTCTGCTACATCGCTGTCACAGCTGAAGCCCCAGTGCAATCCACAAACTGGGGGAAGTTAGACAGAGGAGCACCTGTCTCACCTGCAGAGCTCAATCCAGTAGGCATGCTCAGAGGTTGCCTAACTCCACATGCATGGTGAGGAACACACCTCCCTCAACTTTTAGTTCAGTGCTTAGAGTGCTCCCCTGGAATGTGGGAGACACCAGTTTTCTGATGAGAAGCAATTTGAAGAGGGATCTGCCACTCAGGTGAGTGCCCTAACCACTAGGCTATGGGATATTGTGATGTGGGTCTCCCTTAGTTTCTCCTGTTGAAGCTGTTCCACTGTGGATAAATAGAGGCACTGGAGATGGGGGACTGTATCCTTGGTCTCCCACCTCCCAGGAGAGTACCCTATCCATCAGATTATAGATTTATTCCTGCTGTTTCTGGACCAATGACTTCTCCTCCTCCTCCACGCATTAGGCTCTAGGAAAAGGCTCCCAGCTGTGAATCCCAGCTAGAAAGAGGCACCTTCCTGTGGACTTAGGCATGTCATACCCAGGCCGAAAATTTCAAGACCACAAGTATGAAATGGTCTTAAAAAGCAGTCCAAAGGTCCCAAAAGTTGTGGGGGTGGGGCTTGTGGTGTCATAATGCTGAGTAGGGAGACAGGTCATGGTCCAAAAAAAAAGAAACCCAAAGAAAAAGCGGCTCTTGGAGTGCAGCAGAAAAACCCACAGGCCACAACTGAGCAAAAAACCCCACCAATTTTGAAAAAGGTAAGCCCAAATTTGCTTAAAGTAAGCTGTTTTGCCAATGTCTAATTATGTAAGAGGGACAGGGTTTAGAATACACTCTTTTCCTCAGCATCTCCCCTTAGCTAGCTTAGGCAGTTCTTCAGTCAACATAATGCCTTTTGTGAATCCCATTCTTAGGTGCCTGTCTCTCCCCATCATTACATAGGGAGTCTGAGCACCTAACCCAGGCTTTGTGAATCCTAGTAATTTTGTACTTCTCTAAAAGTTAGGTGTTATGACATTGTGTCACCACACCTGAGTCCATTTGTGAATCTAACCCTTGGCCTACAGTGTAAACACACAGTTAATACAAGGATAATTAACACCTGTAGTTTAATTGTAATTACTTCTTGCTGTACTATAGTATGTTTTAAAAGAATAACATCTCATTAGCATAATACCTGGGTACCTAACTTAGCTACTAAGTCTTTGCTGAGTAGTAAGATACTTATTTACATGCACGTTTTAAAATGTACAGATTGGTGAAGTTTCATTATTACAACAGTTTAAGTGAAATGTAGCACACTGAATGAAAAGCTCCTGACATTTGAGGCATTCTGTCTGAAGTAGAAAAAAGCATAAAATATACAAAACCAACCCATTACACTCTTAACATGCTGATTCCATTTCTCTAGACTTTGAATCAATGTTTCCAGAGGTGACTGCCAATAATCTAACAGTACTAACCATAACCCAGAAAACTAAAAATGATATGACTGTATGGAGTGAAGAAGTGGAAGATGAGAGAGAATTGTTGTTAGAAAATGTAAGTATTATTTGTATTTAGTGTCAGCATATTCTTATTTGTGGACATATCTTTTGTAGATGGGGCCCTTTTTTGTTTGTTTAGACCTAATTTAGTTCTGGAACTGACTTACTGTCTAATTTTCTTAGACCAATCCCTTGACCTAGACAGTATAATTTTTTCTATTGGTAAAATGGGGATAATGAACTTCACCAGTTTTACAAAACTCTCTTTGATATCTTTTGATGAAAATGCTAAATATTAATCTTATTTGGGGGAATGATTTAAGGAGTCATCTTGTTATGTGGCAATGCATTAAAGCCTTTTCATATATTACCCAAGATACTTGATTTTATAATCTGTCAAGATTATAAAATCAAGTAACGGCTATCTTTTATTATCACTGTAGTTCAAGAGCAATGCGTTTCATGCTGTTTTGTCGCTTTGCATGATTTAATTCTCATCCTTCCATAGTGTTCGCTAAATAGGCCTGTTTTATAACCTACAAAGCCATGATTGGTCACTTTTTTATATTCTAACAATGTATTCAGTTAAGGCTTTTAACGTGAATGTCATTGACTTTTACAAATTAATCTTCCACATTAACTTAATACAAGTGAATCTAGTTGCATTGCCACTAGAGGTCTCTTTCTAGAAAAAGCAACTTTGTTAATTTGTTGTTTATTCCAGCAGATGTCAGTGTTTACTGCTGACACTAATTTTCTTAACTGCATTATCTTAAAATATATCCCTCTAAAATGTTTGATTATGTTTTTTAAATCTCTCTAACGGATAGGTTCCCTTCCTGTATGATGATTTTTGTCTACCAATCCATCTAATTATGGATGGGAGACAGCATCAGTAGAAATTAAGATGAAAACAGTTCTACTCGCTATCTTTAAAATTGTAAACTGCATTTATAAATTATCAGTAGAGGCAATGTAAGGGTTACTACAAGAAAAGGAATAAGCAGTCTAAAGTATCAGCATGAAGACTGCATACAAAGTAAAACTCTCTTCGTTTTAGTGTGTCCTTGTCTTTACATTATTTATGGTCTGTTGGTCTTTAGCATTGTAATCTGGTCTAATTATATGTTAATTGTCTTCTTTCTTCCTTGTGCACCTCCTTGTCAACTCTAATATAATCATTGTAAGGGTGTAGATGTAACCTTCTGGCCTGAAGGTTACTAACAGCAAATTCACAATAAAATACCCTATTTGTTTGCTTTGTAGATGGTTAGAAATAACTTCAGAAGAACTAATTTAATGTGATAGGCTTTTGCTAAAGTAATGGGTGTTATTTATAGACATATCTGGGTGTTTACAGTAGGAAGACTCAAGTTTAAATTAACACATCACTTTAAGAGACTGAGACCGTTACAACACTGGATCAAAATATCTGTTTTACCAAAAATGTATGCATTAAATGCATCTTTAGATTTCTTACTTTTATGTCTGTGACTTACTTTAAAGTTTAAATTAGTCTTCAGATCCACTGAACCTTAAAGTAGAGAAATGGGAGAATAGATCAATAGTAAGGTAGAGCTCTTGCTATTTTGGACCACTGGAAGGGACATGGACTGACTAATCAGATTCTGAATTACTCTTCAAAAATTTTGAGACATAGGGCTGTGTCCAAACATTAGAAAAAATTTCAACTTTTACATTTATCAGGCATCTTTTTATTTTTAATAAAAAATAAGGAAATAAGTACACAATCTAAATTTTAAGTAAGATTAAGGAGTATGGTCTTCCACTGCTCAGTAATATACCTGTGGATTAGGCCAGGACCTCATGAGATCATGTCCTCTTTTGTTCCTTTTTGTTGCAGTATCAAGGCAAAACAGCATAGTTTTACTAGCTGGGTTAACATGGTATCTAATCTGGTGTGTGTGTCACAACTTTGATAGTGTCCGTTTATGGTTTGTTTCTTTTAAATAAAATCTATTGGACAAATGAATACAAGATGCCATCAGAGACATTAAACCTCGGCCTTATCACGTCACCCAGCTGTACTAAAAGTTGTTCCTAAAATATAAACTCCTTTTTTTTGTATGTTTTTGTGAGATGTTAGTATGACATGTTGTCATCCCTGGGTGCTTTGCTTGTTTCTGAAAAATACTGCTGTAAAACCTCAAAAGTTGTTAACCAGCCTCCTCCCATTTATTTGACAGGTTTCAGAGGAACAGCTGTGTTAGTCTGTATTCGCAAAAAGAAAAGGAGTACTTGTGGCACCTTAGAGACTAACCAATTTATTTGAGCATGAGCTTTCGTGAGCTACAGCTCACTTCATTTATTTGAAAAACACACAGTAGAACTTTCTTTTTATGGCCAGAAATGTTCGGAGGAGTTGAATTCCCCACTAATCTTGCCCAATGGTTAACTACAACATGACAGCTGGTTTCAGTAGTCAAAGTATCAGATACTTACAAAACTATATTTTTAACTAGAAAGTTTGGTGTCCTGACTTATATTTAAAAGGACTTGTAGTTAGACTTCCGTAATTCAAAGCAACCACACATTACTGTCCTGTTCTCCATGATATCTTCTAACAAAACTTTTTGGAAATACTTAAATAAAGTTGTATATTTAATGGCTTGTTGTAGCAAACTAGGAAATTCAGTTTTGATCTGTAAATGACTCATGAAGTAGAGAAATAACTGAAGCCATGTTTGACTTTTACAGAGGTTTAACAGGTATGATTCTGCAAACTGCATAAGCAATCAAAGCAATTAGATGATCCTTGAACAAACTGTTAATCCTCTACTGAGTGGCACAAAGAATTTCTTTTAAATCTCATGTGATTGTAGTAGCCTAATATATATTGTTAATTTTAATCCTTTTAGTACTGTTGTTGGCCTTTTTCGTTAAAAGGATGTTAAATCTGTCATTTATTGGTGCAGGTTAGAGAGAGGCTCTGCACTAGTTTTAACTAAACATTCAGTATTTACATATAAAAGGAGCACTCCTTTTTAATGTAATTATTTCCTCCCACCTTTTTTTTTTTTTTTTTAGTTTGTTAATGGTGCCAAGGAAATTTGCTATGTACTGTTGTCTGAAGGCTATTGGGCTGACTTTATTGATCCATCATCAGGATTGGCGGTAAGTTACTCTGCTGAAAAGAATGGGTGGAGAATGGAGACTGATATAATAGACTGGTAATAGTATGTGGATCCTTTTACCTGTCAGTTACTGGTTCAAATCCAGCTCTTTTAGGTTGTTGACCAAAAACTTTTTACCATCTGATAGCTTCCTTGGTGTCTTAAAGTGACATCATGGTCTTGGCCCAGTTGCCAGTTACTTTTTATCCACACTACACAAGCCATCATTGCAGTTGCTACTCTGAAGAACAGTTGTAGCAAAGAAGCTAAGTAGTGGAGTATAGAAAATGAACTAGCTTCTCCTCCTTAGAAGTATACAGTCACTGCAGAATGAGGTGGAAGTACATTAGTGCATATTCCTGCTCTGGAATATTCGATAGCACTTGAGTTCTTGGCCACCTTTTTTATGACAATTTTCTTTAAGACTGAACTTAATATTGTTCAGTATACAGTAAAACTACAGTATTTAAATCCCCTTTTGCGGTAGCAATACAGTCGAATGCTCTATTTTAAGGTATACTGGTAGATGGCTAATAATTCAGATAGCCATCCATTCTGACTGAGGCTGTCAGCTTTTTGAAAAAAGTTAAGACAAATAGAATACTGAACAAAATTGAAATTGACTGACTGCATTGCATGTCTTCATCCTTATTTATAGCATACTTTTTAAAAAAAAAAAAAAAAAAAAGGTACACCTCTAACACACTGACCAGAATTTCACAGCTATTTACCAGCTGGGTAACAACAACAAAATAGTCTCCTAGCACTAGTCAGTTATGTCCCCAGTATGTGGAATATATGCTAATATTATCCCTATTAAACAGTCATTGGCATTCATTATCAAGTTAAACTGGTTACCTGGAATATGTGTCATTAAAATTGCCATGCCTATTAAGTGCAATCTAGTTAAGTGGAAAAAGAAAAGGAGTACTTGTGGCACCTTAGAGACTAACCAATTTATTTGAGCATGAGCTTTCGTGAGCTACAGCTCACTTCATCAGATGCATACCGTGGAAACTGCAGCAGACTTTATATACACACAGAGAATATGAAACAATACCTCCTCCCACCCCACTGTCCTGCTGGTAATAGCTTTCTTGTAATAGCTTATAACAATAGCTTGTCCTATTACCAGCAGGACAGTGGGGTGGGAGGAGGTATTGTTTCATATTCTCTGTGTGTATATAAAGTCTGCTGCAGTTTCCACGGTATGCATCTGATGAAGTGAGCTGTAGCTCACGAAAGCTCATGCTCAAATAAATTGGTTAGTCTCTAAGGTGCCACAAGTACTCCTTTTCTTTTTGCGAATACAGACTAACACGGCTGTTCCTCTGAAACTAGTTAAGTGGAGTTTACTAAGCTCTTCTTTTGCGGAAACATAAGTAATCCTCTTTAAGCACATAATATACAAGTCCAGCCCTTTTTCTGTGCCAGGAATGAGCAACTTCAAGGTTGTAGAGGACCACTAAAACCTTTTGCCTGGTCATACAGATTTTTTTTTATTTTATTTTATTTTTAAGATTGACCTAGGTTGCTGAGTGGTGTAGTCTTCTAGCAAAGCTGCTGCCTATTACCACTCAACTCCCCCATCAATGTAGGCACAAACTGTCCCACACCACCTAGCTTCAGTTACTGCTTCACCATTGGCTGATTGTGAGCTGAGAGCCAATCAGATTCTGGCCAGCCACCCTGCCTCCATCAGCAGGTGGGGACAAGGCACACCTCTGCCATGGGGAGAGGAAGTAACCAGAACTGACGAATGGGCTTCCCTTGTGGCTTCCCTTGTGGCAGAGCTTGTTGTCCAAGGGGAGTAGAGCAGAGGCTGGGAGCAGCAGGACCCTGTGTGGCAGATTGCAACACCAATCAAATTTGACCTGGCCACCCCTTTGTCTTACCAGCAAGGAAGGAGTTCCAGCACCTACCTTTGGTTACTGCCTCCCCATTGGCAGAGGTGCACCCTGACATGCCCATAGTTTGGGGTCAGTTGCCCATCCCTGGCCTATGCCATTCTAGACTACAAAGTGAATTTTAACCAAAGCCTGTTGCAGGTTTGCATTGCTATATGAGAAAAATATTATAAATTCCTCCACATTAGAACATTCTAGCTGCAGAGCCAAGCATTTTTAGTGTATAAAGATGATTTTTTTTATTTTATTTTTTTTTAACTGAATAAAGTCAGTGATCACTGTGGTGGGGAGGGAAAATAATATGTTTAGCTGGGCTTTCTTTAAAGCTGGTCATGGGGCTACTGCAAATGATGCTCTATGCCCTAGGTCCATCCACCTTTTTAATTTAGTTCAAGGCAAAATAAATAGCTTTCTCTGTTTTTGTTGAAACTTACAAGTTTCTCACACTTTTATGCATTTATTGAGAAATTTGATGGCTTGCTTCTATCTTGTACTAAAAGTTCGGTAGAGGTGGGGAGTCTGCTTTTGGGCTTGATTCTGCAAATCTTAATCACAATGGAAAGCATTTACTCATACATCTACTTACAGTGAAGTTTTCAAAATCAGTTCCTGTGCTGGGGAACTTCATAATGTATCACAAATACCTCAGTTTAAGATCTGACCATGTGAAAGTGCTATTTGCATATATGCAGTTTAAGTGAAAAGACTTGGGCGTATTAAATCCTGTTTTAATAAGTGTCTGTATGCATGCCTCAGGTTTTTTTTCCTTATTTTGGTTTTAAATACTATTTAGTATATGAAATATGGTAGATTTATAATGTGTATATTATCATTACTGAAATAAGAATCTTTGAGCACAGGATTGGGAACAGGAATTCCTACATTCTAATCCCAGTCCCAACACCCACTGCATCACTTTACACAAGTCATTTAATGTCTATGCCCCAGTTTCCTCATATATAAAATATGAATAGCCACCTGGAAGAAATATTGTATGGAATAATTAATATATGTAAAGCACCTTGAAGATGCAAAAACAACGAAGGGTCCAGTGGCACCTTAAAGACTGAGATTGATTTGGGTAAATCACTCTTAAGTGTTGTTTTTAATTACGACCTTTACTATGAACAACATGTTTTCTGAAATTGGTATACAAAATCTTTTTAAAGAGGAAATACTTTTAAAATGTATAAATCTATAGCAGTTGTCATTCACTTTTATTTCCAAAATGCAAAGAAAAATCTAAAAACTATTGGAGTATACCTCAATCATTTTATGGATGATGGTGTCTTTTAGAATCATCGTAGTTAAGATGGATCAGCTATTGCATTTAGAGTCCCCCTTTTCTTTTCCAGGAGTTTACAGTTTTTCCATTCAAAAATTTTGGATATTTGATGTACCATGTTTCAGAAGCTGCATTTACTTCTAACAAAGGGGGGTAGGGAATAGTCTGAGAGCTTAATAAAATGTTAAATTTGTAAAGTATATAGGGATTTAAGAACTAAATTCCTGGTCCTGCAAGCTGTTCTGTGAGAGTGGGTGCCTGTGCCTTTTATTTCAGAAAGTAAAGCAAATTAGACAGTTAACTCTAAAAAGGTGTGCTTGTTAGCATGTCCTTAAACTACTCTTCAGAAATAACTTTAATATAGTGGGCTCCTTTTAAAAGTTCTACTGTTTTATTTTTTAATTGTACAATTTTAAGGATATCCTTTATCCTAAGGAATGCTTCAAGAAATGGTAAAATATTTCAAAACAAAACATATTTTTAAGGGCAACCACTGTACTTATGCCAAAATAAAGCTTACAAGGTGTTTGTTTATGTGTTTTAAACAACCTATGTCAAAATCCTTTGGGGCTAGGAATTAATTGTGTTTCTCTTTTAAAAAATCAAAACCCAAAAAAACTCCCCTATGTAGCTTATTCACAGTGAAATCACTTACTGATTTTTGGAAGCAGTTTTGTTACTCGTATTGTTAGGCTTGCGTTTTTTTTTTTAACTCAGGTAGATCTGTAATATTTTAAACCTTAAAAACATCTGTTTTGTAAGATTGTCATTATGCTGAACTGATTAATCTGATATATCTTTAAAATATGACTATTGTCTCTCTTTCCCCAGTTTTTTGGACCATACACAAACAACACACTATTTGAAACAGATGAACGCTACTGCCATTTAGGATTCTGTGTTGATGACCTTGGCTGCTGCAAAGTTATTCGTCATAATCTCTGGGGTACTCATGTGGTTGTAGGAAGTATTTTCACAAGTGCTGAACCTGATAGCCCTATCATGAAGAAATTAAGTGGAAAATAGCAACTGTGAGGTTCTTACAAGTTAATATTGGACCTGTGTATTTTTACTGGATGATTGTCTATAAACACTGTTAGGAAATGCAAAGTTTTAGAGTATGCTCTTATAAATAATAAAATAACTGTTGTTTGTTTTTAGTCTATGAGGAATACATATTCACCACATGATTTACACTATTAATTGACAACATTTTAGTTGATAGGTATGCAGATATACCATATGATTTTTAAGCTGCAAGTTACCCTTGTCCTGAGTTGATTGAAAGTATAAAACCAAGCATAATTCAGGCACCTTCTGGTTGTTAATTGAAATGCCTGTAGCTATCCATGTTAACAAGATCACTCTGAGCACATAACTTTTCCACGCTGTGGAGATGGGACCTACTCTGTTCAGAGGGTCTTGATGTGCTGTCTAGGTATTCTCTCTGCTATCCAAAACAATGCCATATATGTATGTACTTTGAGGTTTTGGGCCTTATCCCTGTGAATAAAATCCAGAGAAATGTTTGCAAGATTAGTAAACACTGCTGTTTGCAAAACCAACTGAATTATTGCACAGAAATTTTTTAAAAAATCTTGGTAGACACAAATTTAATATTAATTTGCTAAAAGAATGCTTGGTCTCTCAGTAAGACTGCAGATTGTCTCCTCCAATGAGGATCTCTACAGCAGTGTATTTTCACAAACATCTTATTGCAAAAATAAATTATTTTTTTTCTTTTTCATTTATGGAAGTAGACCACTGTCTCCTTGAAGAGTCTGACTAACCTAATCTGAATTTTAATAATTAACTGCAGTTAACCTGGCCAATGGGAGCTGCAGGTGCAGTGCTTGGGGAGGAAGCAGTGTGTGGAGCCCCCTTACCCTAAGCATAGGAGCCAGGGTGGGGGGACATGCCACTGCTTCCGGAAGCCTTGCAGAGCAGCCCCCGACCCCACTGCCCAGCTGGAGTGCAGGAGCGGGGCAAGTCCCAGACCCTGCTCCCCGGTGGGAGCTCGAGGACTGAATTAAATTGGCTGGGGGCCAGATGTGGCCCATGGGCTGTAATTTGCCCATCCTGGTCTAAAACTATACAGCATGAGAATTGTTATAAAGACAAATGAAGGCATAGCTCACCTCTTAATTTACACAGCTAAACATTGTACATTGCAAACCATCCATTCCTGTCAAAGCTGAAGAAAAGCAGTTTGCAACAGATTAACTAGAAAATTAATTAGCTAAATTATTTGTCATCAGTTTTTACTTTTTTTGTTTTAATATCAAAATTGCTGTTAATGGGGCTGATACATTTTTAAAATAAAAGAGCAAGGTTAATTCCTGGTTCAATATATTTTAGCAATAAAATAACAAGTCTTTATTTCCTACTATTTTCTAAATAGCTAAAGACCAATAAGGTTGGCATGATCTGTTAATCTTAGGGAACTTTAACTCACTGCCACTGTAGTCCTATATGGATGACTTGCATAAGATTGTGCTGGTGTTTATAACATTGACACAGGATTTTCATGATAAATTCTGAAAATGGGATTTATAACTGATATTAAACAATGAAATGTTGAATTGGGTGACTGCCCACAACAAAGATATTCAGGGGAATAGATATTGTCCCTCTTGCACATTGGTATATATTGACAGTGATGACTGGCAGATGAAATTTAATATTGATAAATGCACATTGGAAAATATAATTCCAACTACACGTACAAAGTGATGGGGTCTAAAATAGCTGTTACCACTCAAGAAAGATCTTGGCGTTGTTGTGGATAGTTCTTTGAAAATATCTGCTCCAATACATACATATATAATTAGGATTGGAAAAGAGGCAGACAAGCACAATGAAAATGACTAAAGGTATGGAAAAACTTCCATATGAGGTGAAATTAAAAAGACTGGGACTGTTCAGTTTAGCAAAGAGATGAGTAAGGAGGGATATGAGAGAGGTCTGTCAAGGCATGAATGGTGTGGAAAAAGTGAATAAAGAACTGTTAACCCTTCACTTAACAAAACCACTGGTCACCCAATGAAATTAATAGGCAGTAGGTTTAAAACAAACATAAAGTACTTCTTAAAACAACGTGCAGGCAACCTGTGAAACTCATTGTTAGGGGATGTTGTGAAGGTCAAAACTATAACTGGGTTCAAAAAAGAATTTGATAGCCAAGATGGACCTATCCTCCAGGAACCTATTACCCAAGATGGTCAGGGATGCCACTCCATACTCTGGATGTCTCTAAGCCTCTGACTGCCAGAAGCTGGGACTGGATGATGGGATGAATCCCTCAGTAAATTGCCTTACGTTCATTCCCTCTGAAGCATCTGGCACTGGCTAGTGTTGAAAGGCAGGATATGGGGCTAGATGGACTGTTTATAACTATCACCTACCTCATTGTAATTGAGAAGAGGTTTGGGAAGAACCTCCACCTGCCCAGTTTGATCAATGTGGAATAGAAAGTTGTTGATTAGCTGGTTATCAGTTGTGTGTGTGTCTTTCTCTAGAGCCAAATACTTTACTTGTGTTTAAATTGTTCTGCAAATCTTTAACGTTAATGCTGTGATTCTCCTAAAAGGTGCTGGCTGCAGGAGTCTGCAAGAACTGCTCCAGAGTTCAGTGGTGACATCTCTATACTTCCAAGGCTCTTGTCTTAGCAACTAGTGTGTGTATAAGCATAACCGCTGACTTGATACCACAGGAGAAGTAGCATCTTGCAAAGCAAAGAGGTTGCTGATGCTTCAAACAACTACCCAAAGAAAATCTGGATGAGGCAGGGGACAGAAAGATGTACCTATTCTCATCTCGTGAACCTCACCGATATTGTGGTAATGTCTAAATGAGATCAGGGCCCTATTAGGCTGTACAGGTAGACCCAGGAGAACAAACCTTCCCTATCAGAGGTGAGAGAAGTGGGCAGAGGGTCTGGTGGAAGTATTCCTGAGGAGCTCAGCAAGGGAGTTACCGCAAAGCCGATGTTGAACACCTCGTTCCTCCAGCTGCTGCTTGAGGCATGGTGGATGCCTGGCCGCTGTCCCGCTCTGTTGCCTTCAGATTTGGTGGCAGAAAATGGGAAAGAAGAAGCAGTATCTCTGTATCTTTTCCCTGCACCTAGACCTCTCTTCTTCACTTCAGTGTGGGCTACACACAGTCCATACTAAGGACTTGTCAGCACAGGGAAATGAGATTGTTTGCACTGTTGTAGCTGTATTGGTCCCAGGATATGAGAGAAAGCAAGGTGGGTGAGGTAATATCTTTTATTGGAGCTTCACAGAGAAGAGCTCTGTGAAGTTTGAAAGCTTGTCTTTTCCACCAACAGAGGTTGGTCCAATAAAAGATATTACCTCACCCACCTTCTTTCATTGTGTTATAACATGTTAACTAGCATATTAGATGGTATATTTTAAAAATCATGTTGGTTGGCTAAACCAGGGCCAGCTGACATTTTACACACACGTCCCTAGCTGCACAAGGTGTTCAGCATCTTATTAGTTAATGTGTTACAACCCAGTGTCACTTCCCAGTACAAATAAGCCCCGAGAGAGGAGCATGATCTTAGAAGTGGTCCCTCTTGTTGGTTGTATTAAATCAGTGGTGAGGTGGTGTTTACAATGTGTATGTCTACTACTTCTGCTTTAGAAGAAACAGAAGAGCTCACTCCCTAGGCTACTGTATTAGAATACACAATCACAATTAAGAAAAGTGAAAATAAAGATACATTCTTCAGAATATCAAGTCTGCTTAATATCCATTCAATACCTGGTAAGAGTCTAGGCTCACCTGTGTGTGCTCCTTCCAAACGAGAGGAAAAATATACGTTCTGTAACGTGACATGATAAACTATTTATCTTGATGGGAAAATAAATCTTTGTATTTAAAGCAAAGGATGTGGTTTAGTATTTTCAAAACTTTGTGTGGGAACTGTAAACACATTTTTAACACACAGTATATCTACAACACTGAATAAGGTACTTCAGTTCCTTTAGCAATTACATTGTTTACTGGTTCAAATTATACATGAAATCTCTGAGGGGTCTAGATTATAAGGATCTATAGATACAAATTTGTTCTAATGCTTTTGGTGTTGGGCCAGATCCCACAGCACTATAGCCCTATTTTCCAGTTCACAATCAATGCAGCCAGAATCTCACAAGAACAGGCATAGTGAGCTCAAAACTCTATGGAAACCAATGATCTCTTGTAACATTCTGGGACAAAAATAGCTCACAAGATTTTGGCAGCATTGAATTGATTTCAACTTTAACATGGATGCACATTGGTGCTATCCTCTCATCTCACTTCTATTTCAAGTCAGATTCCCTGATATAGTAAGTAGCAGGTAATAATGTTACCTTTTAACTTCCATTTCTGAGCACTGCCAAGTGAACTGGGAACTTCAACTGTGTTCAGTGCCCAGGTCATGACAAGGAATTGTGGAAGGAATATATACAGTAGCTGCCTAATGTAGAAGGAAAACCAAAGGGGGTTAAGTGACCAGAAGTACAGGAGCCCATCCTGAATCAGGCCAGGAGTGAGCTATAACGTGGGAAATAACTGGTATTAATTAAGACAGGATTCATAGTCCAACTTAAAGATGGCTTGGTCAATAATTATATATAATGAGAATAAGCCAGGTTTTAGCATTTGCTGTACTCACAGTACCATCTTCTGTTATTGCATACCTTGGCACTGCTCCCATTGAGCTGGGAGTGGTGCTTGTGTATTTTAGGGTGGAATTTGGTTCCCAGCTATTACAGCCTTCACTAATGCTGCAGTGTAGTGTCGTGGCTGCGCAGGCACTGTAGGGAGAATACACCCTTTTGTTGATGTCGATTCAAAATCATAAAGATGTCCCGTATCCTAGTTAATCTTGCGGTCGTGTATCCTTTTTAAAACCTGTGAACAGCATTTGGGATTTATATCTCATTACTATGATTCATAGTTGATGGTATTGTTGTCAGTTCTCGGTGTTGTGGACGTTTCAAAGTTGGTGCAGAAAGGGGCTACCTCCTCACTATAGTCTGGTCTCAGTTATACCAGTATCAGTCCACAGTGTCGCCATTGAAACTGGAGCTCCCAGAGCCAGAGCTTGATGGGTACAGGGCAAGATTTACTTGTTCACTCAGTCCTCTAACTAGCAGTGGACTCAGGTGAGCATCTATAATAGGTTAGATAAATGGCCAGTATTTTAATAATTGATATGCCAAAAAGAGTTCAGGCCAGATCCTGCACTCCTTTATACTAATTCTAGGGGCATTGGTGGAATTACCCATTGTTTACCCTGGTGTAACAGCCTCATTTAACCAGACATAAAACTTGTAAGATAGCAAATAAATCTTTTCACTTAATTTAATCTTTCTCTAGTATAGAATAACTAACTCATTTTACTCACAAATCATGTAGAGGGAGTGAATAAAAATACCCATTAATGTAGTAAAGCTTTGAAATGTAATAGCAGATTAATTGCACCAACTGCTTCACATGGGCTCAGCCGTTAAAGTCTTTTTTTTTTATTAAGACCCACTTTCACAATCTGCTTTTACACAGGATCCTGAAGCTTGTCAATCAAATTAGTGTGTCTATACATATGCTTGAAGAAAGCAGGAAAAATAACCCAAACAGTTAAACAGCGCTCATTCACAGGAGCGTAAATGGTAAAGAATTCTATTCTCTCCACACCCAACACCTGAGTAAAAAAAACCCTTAAAATATCTGAAAGGTCAAAGATACATCTACAGGGAGAGAGAGGCCCTTTTCTGTGTCTGCCATCTTGATTTCAGGCCTGTTGCCCTTCGCTGGTAATTGCGGTGTCACTCAACAGCAGATACTGTAGGTAATAAAACTGCAAGAAAGCAAGCTTGTAATTTTAGACTACTCCAAGTAGCTGACCCGAAGCAGGTAAGGCTTTAGAGGCAGCCTCTCTAAAATTAACTACTTTCCCTGTAACTTGTGTAAAACTAGGACTGTGAACATGTCTTATCTAAAGGTTTTTAGTCAGTCAAGCTAAACTAATTGCTGCAATTTATAGTGAAAAGTGTATGTGTTAATTAGCTGAACAATATATTTTTAATTCATATTGTCATGCAAATAATATGGCATCCCGTAAAATATGTTTCACATTCAAATTATATTGATTTAAGTCAGGATGCCACTTTGGTACTCTAGTTTATGGGGAGTTTTTATTGGGAGAAATTTTCAACATGGACAATTAAAATATTTTAGTGCATATGTTTTCCCCAATCCCTTTTCCCAGCAGTACAGATGGACCATGATAGGGCTGGTACACATGGGTTTTGTCCACCAGAGAAACATGAAAGTTTTGGTGATTCAAAATCTGTGTGAGCACAGAGTTGGATGTTTATTTTTTTAATTCATTCCAAGATTGTAAAATTAAACTAAGCAATATGGCGCAAGGATTGTCATTGATTATATGGTTGTACAGCATGCAGCACAATGGAATCCTGACCTAACTGAGGCCTGTCAAGCTACGTCTACATTACTGTTAAACACCCGTGACTGGCTCATGTCAGCTGACTCAGGTTTGTGGGGCTCAGGCTGTAGGGGTGTATAATTGCTGTGTAGAGACATTTGGGCTCAGGCTGTAGCTTGGACTCTTGGGTCCTCCTCCTTTGCAGAAGGCCTTGGGTTCCATGCAGAAGGAGGCATTGTTATACTTGGACCTAACAGAAAAGGAGATACAGATTCAGAGGGAGCTGATAGAAACACAGCTGTCCTCTGTGCTTGCTTTATTGTTTAGCCAGCAAGCCTGAAAGCAACATGAAAATAAAGCATTTCACTGAGGAGGGGGAGGTATTCAACCATTTAAAGGGAGAGGGTATCACATTCCTCCTCCCTACTTTAAAAAGCACGCTTGTATGCTCTCTCTCCTTCTCTATTATATAGCTAACATAAAACACTATATAACCCAGCAAAAATTGTAGGTGGGCTACTATGGATGCTTAAATTGCAAGGGATTATTCTGCTCTGGAATAACAATTCATGAACTAAACAATTTATAAATTCAGGTGCACCACTGGTTTTTGCACTCTCTTGGGATAACATGGTGATGGCAGTGTAGCAACATCCTGAACAACAGGAACTATCAGTGGCAAGGCATCAACTGGATCTAGTATGGAATCAAATGGATCTGGTACCAAAGTTTCTCTCAACAAGTCTTTGAAATTAGGAGTTGTGATGGGAGGAAGTTTGACTGGAGGAACAGAAAGTCCGACTGGAGCATCCCTGGACTCCAGTAATGGTCCATATTCAATTTCCACAAAATACTGTCAGATAGTTGTAACAAATAAAACAGGTCTCAAGCATTTTACAGGTTCTCCAGGTACCTACTTCACTCCACAACCATAGTTGTGAGTCCATACAAAGTCCCTGACTTGACAAGAACGATAATGCGTCTCATGTTGTCAATCAATTTGCATAGCTTGGGATTTGGCTACACTTGAGGCAATATCAGGATGTAGTAAGTCCCAAGAGGTATGCAAAGATTGCTTCAAGAAAAGAGTTGCAGGTGACTCCTGGGTAGTGGCATGTGGTATATTCCTGTAGACAAGCAACAAATTGTCCCATTTCTGTGGATGACGCAAAATAGACTTGTTAGCTTTTAAGGCATGCTACACGAATTGTGTAAATGGGGATTCTTATGATCCAACACTGTACTCTGTAGTACCATTGCCTTCGTAAGGGAAAGCGCATAATCCTTAGCGGTTTCTTTGTTGATATCTGTGCTCGTGATGGGTAACCTAGCTATCAAATGGAGATCGAACACTTAGTCTAAACTTTCTTTGGGTTAACGAAAGCTTGGGCATGGCAGGCACAACAGCCCATCAGCATTGTCAATGCTAAGTCACTTTATGGAATTGAATTAGCTTAATGTAGAAATGCCCATTGTTTTATATGCGCAGCAGCTAATGATGGAATTCCATGTTTCAGTTCAAAAACTGAAATGAATGGGTGATGACCCATCAGTGAAGTAAAATGTCTACCATACAGCTCGGTATGGTACTTGCAAATTCCAAATAGAATGCTGAGAGCTTCTCACTCTGTTTGTGCATAGTTCTGCTCAGGTGTAGTGAGTTTTCACGATAAAAAGGCAATTGGTTTCTCCATGCCATTAGGAAAAATGTAGGAAAGCATGGAAGCTTACGGTGAAGCAGCACAAACCATTCCAGTAATAGCGAAGCTGATATCAACAGTTTCTTTGCTTCTTTAAATGCACATTCACACTCTTTAGTCCCTGTCCATTTTTAATTTGCTTGTAACATGTCATCTAATGGTGCCAATACTTCACCAGCTCAGGCAGAAATTTACCATAGTAATTAAACAGTCCTAAGAATGATCGTAACTGTGACACATTCTCTAGCGGTGGTGCTGCAAGAACCGCCTTCTCTTTCTCTGGAGATTTCCTTAAGCCCATGGCATCAATTACATGTTCAGGAGTACGGCTTGGGACAGTATCACTGCAGGCAGAATTCCTGTCTGTGTGGCTGAAAAACAAGTGCTGGGTTCTAAGCGAATAGCGGGGCTGCTCCAAAGCCCACTGCAGTCTGGGGAAAGATGGCCGTTGATTTTAATGGACTTTGGAGTAGATCCAATGTTTTACAATTGAGGCATGATATATATCACTGCTACTTTCAAGTGTTCCTCTATATAATATTGCTCATAGTCTTTAGGAACATAAGAATAATAAAAATATATTGCACTTACATAGCAAGGAACCAAGGATGTCACAGCAATTTTAAAACATGAATTAAGGTTCAACCCATATGTGAGGTAGACATTAAGATGCTTTTATACCATAGGTACACGGCTATTGTTTTTAAATGCAGGTCTATTGAATCAAAGTATCATATATATATTGTGCCATAAA